CTCTCAATAACACAGGGGAGGCGGGGGGAGCGAGGTCCTGGGGACCAGCCTTCTTTCCCCATTTTCTCCCTGAGGTCTGGGATTCCTTCCAGCACAGCAATTCTGTTCTTTCCACAATTAGGCCCTTAGAGGCAAAGCTCAGAAAGCAAATGCTTTCAGTTATATAACACCTTGGCTTCTGTAGTAAATGATTTTACTACAGGCCCTTTCCTGTGCGTAGGCTTTAAGAGGGAAGGCATCCAGGAAGAGCACGTGGGACTAGAAGAGGCGTTGCTATGGTGAAAATCAAAAGGACAAAACCGGAGGGGAGAGTTCTGAGGACGTAGGCTTCCTCCCTCACAGTTTTACACCGCAAACCAGAGACATAGCCCAGATGGCCTTTGCCAACAGATAACCTGATTTCGAAACTCCCCATCAATCAATTCCATGACGAAATAAGTGTATCCACATTTTACAGATGAGGAGATGAAATCCAAGGAGCTCAGTCCGTGTGTCCAAAATCATGCAACTGTTCAGGGGATGCAGATAGGACTTGAACAAATGTCTGTCTTTTCACCAACCCCCTGGCACAGGGAGCGATCTTGTTACCTCCAGATCAAGAGAAACGGAACCAGATGTGGTGAAGGGTATTTTATTGTTGTTGCTAGTGCAGTGGAGTCAGTTCTGATGCACAGAGACCCTGTACACAGCAGAACACAACACTGCCTGGCCGCACCATTTTTATACCTGCTGCTGTGCTTGAGCCCATTGCTGCAGCCACCATGTTAATCCACTTCATTGAGGTTCTTCTTCTTTTTTACTGACTCCTTTTCAAAGCATGATGTCTTCTAAGCACGGGTCCCTCCTGATGATATGTCCAAAGTACATGAGATAAAGTCCCACAATTCCCAATTCGAAGGAGCCCTCTAGCTGTACTTCTTTGGAGACAGGGTTGTTTATTCCAAGACTGCTGGTCTGTCAGTTTGTTACACTGTGTTGGCTTTCATGTTCCTGTGATGCTACAAGCTATGCCACTGGCGTTAGAAACACCAGTCGGGTCACCCATGGTTAACAGGTTTTAGGGGAGCTTTTAGAGTAAGACAAACCAGGAAGAGGGACCGGGTATCTCATGCATAAAAAAATTAGCCAGTGAAAATCTTATAAATAGCAGCAGCAGAGAGAGAGGGTTTAGACTTATCTGTTTCACCTGGAGAGAGCCCTGAAGACCATTATGCATCCTATTTTTCCACATACCCAACGTGAACCATCCGTGGGGCCACAATTCAGCAGAGCGACCCAAGGCCCACCCTCTTTCAGGGTGATGGTTGATGGTTGGTGGTTACTGTGGACAAGGACACTTCTTGTGGCCTGGATAAAAGGCTGGAACTCCCGGGTCTCTGTCTTCTCTCTAATCAGTCTTGTGTTCTTCTTATTCAAATGGACTTTCTTTTGTGTTGCTCTGGGTTTTTGTTTTCCCACATGAAAGCTTAGGGGATAGATGGACAAGCAAATCAGATTGCTGTAATCCATAACGTTTTCATTAGCTGAGTTCAGAAGTAGATCGTTAGGGCTTTCTTCCTGGTCCATCTGAGTCTGGGAGCTCTGCTGAAACTCACTCAGCATCACAGCGACATACCAGGAGCCTTGGCTGGGGATTGAATTCTGCTTCCTGGCTGGAAAGGGAGGGTCCCATCACTGAAGCACCAATGCTCACCACTAAAAAGCCCTCCACCTCTCTATCTCTCTTTTTATAGACTGCTCCTCACACATATTGATTAAATTGGTATTGACAAGAGTAAAGATCCAGGTATTGAAATTTCCTAGAATTTATATGCCAGCAGGTTTGCTTGGCTTTAAAAAAAAATCATTTCATTGGTGGCTCTTACAGCTCTTACCACATTCCATATAGATATCCATTTTGTCAAACACATCTGTACATATGTTGTCATCCTCTTTTTAAAAACATTTTCTTTCTACTTGGCATCAGCCCCTAATTTTCCCCCTTCCCTCCTCCACTCTCCCTTCCCTATGTCCCCTTGATGATTTATAAATTTTTCTTCTTCTTTTTTTTTTCATGTCTTACACCGACTGCTGTCTCATTTCACACACTTTTTTGCTGTTTGTCCCCCTGTGAGGGAGGCCATATGTCAATTATTGTGATTGGTTCCCCCTTCTTCCCCCCACCCTTCCCCTCCTAGTATTGCTGCCCCCCTTATTGGTTCTGAGGGATTATCTGTTCTGGATTCCCTGTGTTGTGAGCTCTTATTTGTACTAGTATATATGTTCTGGTCTAGCCAGATTTGTAAGATAGAATTGGGGTCATGGTAGTGGGTAGGTGGGGGAAGCATTAAAGAACTAGAGGAAGGTTGTATGTTTCATAGGTGCTATACTGCACCCTGACTGGCTCTTCTCTTTCTTGTGTGCCAGCAGGTTTTACAACCAATAGATTACAAGCCTTCCAAGGCCCTTCTAGGGGCTGATGTCTTCTACCAGAATCTGCTTGGGAAGCATCTCGTCACTATCATTTAGATTCTCTAGAAACTCATAATTTGTGGCAAACACTGTTCTGAAGCCTTACATTCCACTTGTCTAGGGAAAGTTATTTTTATCATTGTTTGCTCCACAATTATCTATCTATCTATCTATCTATCTATCTATCTATCTATCTATCTATCTTTTATCTATCTAGCTAGCTAGCTAGCTATCTACCTATCCAGTTTAAAACCTATTATGGCCTTTCAGGTTTTGAAGGAGGTGCAAGAATTAGTGAGGTAATAGTACTATTTAGGAACCATTTAGTGAATTATTACTCTAGGACTCATTCTGAAGTTCTGAAAACATAATGAGAGCATCTCATTAATGAGGAGTAACCAAGCCCCCAGTTGGAGATAGAGGTGAAGAATCTTTTGTTCTTCAGAGGCTCACGGTCCAGTGGCTATCGAGTCCATCCTGACTCATGCTGACTCTAAGTGACCAAGAGCAGAACTGAGCTCCAGAGGGTTTGCAGCGGCTGATTTTTCAGAAGTAGATTGCCAGACCTTTCTTCTGAGGTACCCGTGGGGCTTGAACCTTTGATCTCTCTCATAGGAGCCAAGTACATTAACCATTTGCACCACCTTGGTACTCCAGCAATGATAATCTCAATGTTAGCAGTGACTTAGAAGTACCTCTTGGCTATCAGGCAAGGTGGTTGGTACTTTTGTAACATACTATTTTAAATGCTCACAACAACTTTAGTAGGTAAGCATCTTCCATTTTATCACTGAGGAAATTAAGGCTCAGAGAGGTCACACAGCCAGGACAACACTGACCATTCACTCTGACCTATATTTCTAAGTTTCTGAAGCCCATTTCACAGAGCCTCTAGCCAACAGGTAAAGGTCTGAGAGTGCAAACAGGCAATATGAGAGAGAGGGTTAACTTATATAGGGGGCGGGAGTGGTGATCAGGCCTCGGGTGAAAGAAAAAACTGTTAATTGTTCAAATTATGGGTAGAAATCAATGTGTGGGGCCCATACCTGTTAGAAGGCACCATACTAGATGAAATCAAATCATTAAAAAAGACTAGCTCTTTTGTGGTTATTTCCAGAACCCTCAAATTCATTTTTAAAAAAAGTTCATTTTGTTCCTCCTTTTTTTTCCAGGTATGCTGACGGTACCTCAGCAATCTGATTTTTTTCCCCTCAAGTTGGTATGAGCTCCTTGATTTTAAGTCGATTTCTACTTTTGTTGATTGCCATTTTTGATGAGATACAATTTACAGAAAGCAGAGGATAGTGGTGGACACAGCTGTGACAGTCACCTTCTCTGCAGTGCTCCGATGCCCAATGCAGTGCAGACAGCGTATCATGATTGTACACACACACACACACACACACACACACACACACACACACACACACTCTCTCCAATGGGTTAACACCTGAAGATCAAATCAGATACGTCTAGTAGGCCAGGAATCTGAAGGTACATCAAACATGTTAGAGAACCCCTGAGCTGAAATGATTCATCATGAAAGCAGATCTAGCTCGAGGCTTTAGGAACATATTGTGACCCAACGCAGGTAAATGAAACAAACAACAACAAAGCAAAACAAAACCAACCAGTGAATTTTCTGAATGAGACTCCCACAAATCACCATTTTCAGGTTATATCCAAAACAAGTAAAATGAACAAAGGACCTTAAACCTGGAAGACTAGTCAGAGATTACAGAAAGTGGTTTCGGTCTCAGATATTTTTCAAAAGATCCTACAACCTATTTGTTACACTTCCAGAATGGAAATTTCCATTGCACACATGGAAAAGGCGCATCGTCACACACAGGCATCTCATATATGTGTGTATACATATACACTTGTGTATGCAAAATGTACTCACATAGACTGTACAGCTTAGTAAATGCTTATTACGAGGGTGGATTTATTTCACAGTCACCCGTTTGGTGGAAAATTACTTTCACCCTGGATTATACGGAAGGTATAATCTGCTGCAGCAAACAACGCCACGGTGACACTGTGGTAAGTCATTACCCAACCTTGACTGAGATACTGGATGAACCACAGCAGAAATATGGGCAGCATCCATTCCCGAAGGGAATAAAGTGAAGCTACAACAATGAGAGCTTGGCTAATTGACTGCAAAGACACACATGATTTGTTCTGTTTATGCTGCTTAATGTTTTTTAAAAAAATTAAGATTTGAAGTGAAAACACTAATGAGAACAACGATGATACTGCTTGAAGTAGCTACTAGGCTTGAGACGCAATTTTAAAAAATTGTAGTTCAGAGCTAGCTGTTCAGCAAGACAGACCATACGCTTATTTTTCTCCTCCAAATGCTTTACCAAATGACAAGTGCACATTTAGAGCGGGTTTTGTTTTCACACAGAGAGCCTCTTTGCACACACATACTCATGCAGACGCACACTCTCTCCCTCTCCTTACAACAGCACGTCCCTCCTCTGGCCGGAAGAATGATGCTGAGAGCCAGAGACCCATCAAAACAGCTGGAAAAAACCTACCTTTTTGTTGATCAAACACAGACGGGGTGCTGAAATCCATGGTTGCTTGTCTCATCATTTACCACCAGAATGGCAAAAAAGCATCAGGGTTCTAGAGAGAAGAAATCATCCCACCTCACAGGTTCCTGTCAACAGTCAGCAAGCAGCAGCTTCGCCTGCCAGGACCTCTGTTTGAGACCAAATGCGCATCTGAGCTGCAGGTTGTTGTCAAGGCAAATAATGGAAACAGGTAAATGCAATTCCTGTGATTTCTGCCAGGGAAAGAGTAACTTCTGACAGCCTCTTTCAGGAGCTGCAGTTGTGTGTAAGTATTACACACTCTCCATGCCCAAACAAATTTTTAAAAGGCCGAACGCTCAAGAGGGTTTGGGGTGGAGGGCATCCGCCTGAGATCTGGGCTGAGAAACCACTGTGGCCACAGAGCTTCAGCAGCCGGAACGTTGCTTTAAACCCACAGAAATCTCAATGGGCGAGTGAGGCTTCGCAGGGCCAAACGGAGCATGTGCAGAGCTGCCCGTGCAGTGTGGATTCAGCTGTGCTCCTGGCGGAGTGCGGCCGCATTCGGGTCACGTGAGCAGAGAGTGCCTCTCAATGGAATAGGACGTAAATATTGTAGCAGGAGGCTCCTGGCCATGTGCTGGATGGCGTAATGACCCACGTCCCCAGCTCATCTTCGACTCCCTTCAGCTCTGAGTTTTGAATGACAGGAAAGGTGGGGGGAGGGAAGCGGCATCTGAAAGTACCAACCAGAGCTACTTATCATAAATCATCAATTAGACTATGCTTCATAAGTAAATATTAAAATTTCCAACACCACTTTCTTGAATTAATTATAAAAGCCAAACCTAGGGGATTAAGCATGAATTGGTGATGAAACCTTTACACTAACAGGTATCAAGCTAAGGAAATATGGGTCAAGATTATGCAATTCACTGAGATAAAGTTAAGTGTTGCTATTTGGTCCCAAACAAGATAAAAGGGTAGAAAGAAAAATATGATTTAGGTAAATTTTGCTTTTGTATATTTGCTCATTAATTTTTCGAGTTTTATTAAGGATTACTAGATTCCAATTACAGCTTTTTTGACATATAGTTCACATACCAGACAGTCCAATGGTCTAAATATAATAAAGAATTGTGCATTCATCACCACAGTACATTTTAGAATATTTTCTTACTTTTTGTATTTATTATTATCTCCCCATCTCCCCCTCCTCTGCCATAACCCTAAGAAATGATTCATGTAGTGCATCTATAAATTTACCTATTCTGAATTTTATATAAAGGAAATCATATAAAAAAGACCCTAACCCCGGCCCCACCATGAGACACAACGTCCCTCACTGACCCATAGCCCTACAGAGGACAATACCAGAGACACAGTGTGGGAATTGCACCCGATCTGATCCCGCCAC